GAAACTACGGCACGAGGAGAACAAATTTTGAGGTCAAGTATATGTCAGGAAAAATCAACTTCTAGAGATCAACGTTAGAAATGCAATGCATTTTTTCTATTAGTAATCCAATGTGCTGCCGAGTAATATAATCCATAGCGATTTACATTAAAATGTCACGACAGTTGCATTAATACCAGTTGAGAACTGGATTTCTCCGTAACGGTTGGATAAGATTCGTCGTTGGATTCAATCGTACAAAAGTAGTGCTGAGACGGCTGATTGTCTTTTAAACGCCACTCATTGAATTACCAATGAATTTAGAACAGTTTTAACGGCACCATAGTTCCGACAAATTTATAACAAACTTTCCCCTAATTTTTGGGTATATTTAACATGTTATTCTTTTTAAACTCAGCACTTTCTGGAAAGAGTAACTCTGTCCTCTGGCAAACATTTAAGCACGTATGAGAAAAGCGTGAAACAATGAAAGAGCAGGAGAAGTTGAATAAGTCGTACGGCTCGTCATGATTAAAACTCGGTAATAACAACTAAAACTTCGAAGAAGAGAAAACTGTGTTTAGACAGCTAGAAATAGATCTTAGAGCTGCATGCATTTATATCGAGTTGTTATGAAAGTGCGATGGCCGTAAATACCATGCACGAGATGTCTTGATCGCAAGTCTACCGTACTATCTTTGCACGCTGAAAGTAGTATTATCTTTTTGTGCGGTATATGACCGATCAACGAATCGATATCGATTCAGATTTGATAGAGGTTAGGAACTACAGATATGTTGATTAAATCTAGTATAGCGTTTGACATGGGAATGAAGCTGAGTATCCCTGACCTGACCGCTGATCTGCCCCTTGATTGCTTCAAATTGTTCGTGAAAGAAAGAACGAAAAAAGAAAGAAAGAGAAAACGATTTTATTACTTATCGTTTTACGTTTATAGAAACTTGAAAATGAATCAGTATGTATATGTGCGTATTTTTTCCTGAAGACAGAACTTAGCAGGAGATACAAACGAATGAAAAACTAAAAGACAAAAACAAAAAAATGAGAAGAGACATCAAGTCGTTAGTACGGTTCTCCTTTGTTCACTTTTACGTCTGTCGCTCTGGTGCGTGAAGCGCATTTTTTTTTTTTTTTTACTCTCTTAGATCCTTTTTGCATTCCCTTTCTTCCTTTGCCCCGTTTCCTCCTTTCTCCCACTCCTGAGATCCTCGAATTTTGTAAATTGTGATATAAATAAATAACAAATGTGTATAGGTACGACGTGCAACCGTATCGCGAGGAACCGTAAATTCAATGAATATTTTATTTTTCACGGGAATTCTCTCCTTTTTAACGGACTTTGTGAATATCGTGTATTATAATAATTACTAATTATATTAAATTTAAATATGATTTACGTTCTAATGCTGCTGACTCCCGATCGATATACGTTAATATTTCCTCCTCCGCCCTTCCTCCTACCATTTCAAAAATGGTTTCCACTAAACCATCGATACTCCTCTTCATACACATATAGGCACCATACATTCGCACATATTTTTCTCCAATTATAAAATATGAAGATTTTTGACAAAGGAGATGCTCTAGAGGAAAAGAAAAGTAAAAATCATTTACGTTCGCGGATTCATTGAAAAATCCTATCATCTTCTGATCCAAATCCCTCAAAACCTCCTTCTATTTTTAAATAATCGCAACCATGGCGATTGTCGCGATGATTCTTGAACGTAACCGAGACCCATTGTACATTGTATAAATGATAACGCGTTCTTTAAAGAAAGAAAAATGTCAGGAAATTAATGTTCCCAATGCGTGTGTATCTATATCTTTTCGCGCCATTCGTTCCCCACCCTTTTACACGTTCACACATCAGAAAACATGTTGTACACATCAAGCATTTCGATTGTATTATATATACTGATCACACAAGACGGTTGGAAAGAGCGCCTCTCAGCTGTTTTCAGTAACATCGTACTTGTTCCTTTTTTTATCGAACTTTCGCATTACTGTACTTTCTCGTATGCTTTTTTTTTCTTTTGCCTCTCTGTGATCCTGGTGATTCAAAAATTTAGCCTCGTTCATCGCATATACATTACGCATTTTGTAACATACTTTTATGTTTCTACAGAGTTTGTAAACTCGGTGAAGTTGTTCATCGATCGAGATCATCAGTTTCGTCATGTCTGTTCGAAACAGACTTTCGTACAATTTACCGCATGACTTTTAACTATTTTTTCGGCGACGTTCACGAAACACTTCGTGTGCAGGATTTTTATTTGTTCAGGACGTATTCCTAGAGGAATAAAAATCAAAGCTACGAAGGCAAAATTGGAAGAAGCTTGTTCTTAGAGAATTTTTTTCTTTCTCTTTCCTTTTTTTTTTTTTTTTTTT